GGGTGGGCAGGGGATGGTTCAGAATGATTCAAGCGCATTACTTGTATTGCGCACTTTATTTCTGTTATTATTACTTGTAATATATAATGAAATGATTATACAGCTCACCATAAGGTAGAATCAGTGATAACCCTGGGCTTGTTTTCCTGCAAGTAGACAGTCCCATCTGGGGATAATGGGAGACAGTGACAGATCATCAGGCATTAGAGTCTCATCAGAAGCATGCACAGTTCACAATAGAGTTCGCACTCCTATGAAAATCTAATGCCACTGATCTGACAGGAGGCAGAGCTCAGGAAGTAATGCGAGCAATATGGAGTGACTATAAATACAGATGAGGCTTTAGTTGCTTGCCTGCCTGCCATTCACCTCCTGCCATGAGGCCCTGTTCCTAAGAGGCCATGAATCAGTACTTGGGGGTCAGAGACCCCTAGGTTATAACATATAGCTTAGGCTACTAGACTAGCCTAGGTCTAGTAGGCTAGACCATCCAGCTTTGTGCAAGTCCACTGTATGACATTCATACAATGACAAAATAGCCTAACAATTCATCTTTCAGAATGTGTCCCCATATTAAGTGACACATGACTGTACCTTCCATTAGGGACCACCTCCCTCATAGTGCAGCACCATCCTTCTGAATCACAGCAACTATTAAGCTGAGCTAGCCTCCTTCTTAATCTGTAAACAGTTGTCATGATCAACAGGCAGGCAGTGGCTTTAATGGATGTCCCAATACTGCTGCCCTGGGGATTGCATCTCTAACACAGAAACTTTAGGCAACACATTCAAACCATACCAGCCTCCTTTTCCAAGTTCTCGTGGAATTGATGAATCCAGTATAGATGAATCAACATACTGAATGAGTATCAGTGAAGTCTTCCTGTGGTTTGCTTTATGAAACTACGTGGATAGAAAAATGCTGAGGTTGGATTGTCTCCTTTGGAGAAGTTTAACTACTGGAGTGGATTGCTAAACCTGGGACATCCATTAAAGCCACTGCCTGCCTGTTGATCATGACAACTGTCTACAGATTAAGAAGGAGGTTAGCTCAGCTTAATAGTCGCTGTGATTCAGAAGGATGGTGCTGCACTATGAGGGTAGCTTATCCAGAAGAGTATGTTGACAGGGAAGCCCAGCATTATGGGAGGCTGAGGCGGGAGGATCACTCAAGGCCAAGAGTTCAAGACCAGCCCGGACAACATAGCAAATCCCTATCTGTACTAAAAATACAAAAAAAAAAAATTAGCTGGGCATTAGTGGGGCATGCCTATAATTCAAGCTACTTGGGAATCTGAGGCATGAGAATTGCTTGAACCCAGGAGGCGGAAGTTGCAGTGAGCAGAGATGGCGCCACTGCGCTGCAGCCTGGGTGACAAAGTGAGACTCTGTCTCAACAAAAAAAAAAAAAAAAGAAAAGAAAAAACAAAATAATATGCTGACAGATGACCTGAGTTCTCATGACACTTTTTAAATGATGCCATTTCGATCTATAAATAATGGAGTCTTTGGTTCTTTGCTGCTCTTAGAAACACTAATACTGTAGCTTTCTGCTAAACATTTTCTTATTAAGCTTTGCCAGCATCCTGAGCTTGTTGGTTTTCATGGCTTAGGTACCCTCCTCTTAGGTATTTCTTAATCACCAGACTCTCAGACGCTATTTTCAAACAAATGAGTAAGGCCCCTGGGGGTCTGAAAGAGCTGCCAAAGTGGGAGCCAGGGGTCAGGAGGTGTGTGCTCACTCGGCGCTGTTTCCATGGGTTCCTGGGCTCTAGAACTTGGTCCACAGAATCGAGTTCAACTGTCCAGGGCTACAGCCAGCAAGACTGAGACTGCCGGACCCGTCCTTGTGTTTGTAAGGATAGGCACAATTTGTTCGGTGGCTCAAGCCTGTAATCCCAGCACTTTGGGAGGCTAAGGCGGGTGGATCACGAGGTCAAGAGATCGAGACCATCCTGGTCAACATGGTGAAACCCCGTCTCTACTCAAAATGCAAAAAATTAGCTGGGCATGGTGGCGCATGCCTGTAATCCCAGCTACTCGGGAGGCTGAGGCAGGAGAATTGCCTGAACCCAGGAGGCGGAGGTTGCCATGAGCCGAGATTGCGCCATTGCACTCCAGCCTGGGTAACAAGAGTGAAATTCCGTCTCAAAAAAAAATATATATATATTACTCTATTCTTGGAGGCAAATGTGGGAGGATCGCTTGAGCCCCGGGGTTCAAGGGGGCAGTGAGCTATGATTGTGCCACTGCATGCCAGCCTAGGTGACAGAGTGAGACCCTGTCTCAAAAAAAAAACAAAAGCATACATCATACACACACACACACACACACACGTGTGCACGCACGCGCATAGGTATATTCTGCTTGGGCCAATAAATGGGCCAAAACAAGATAGAAAGCAGTGGTAACCCCAGGGTTACTTCTAGATCAAGCAAGAGAAAAAAACATCAAATCCGGATCTGGAAGGAGGTCAGAGCACATTAATGAGAGGTTATTCAAAAAGGATAGTGACTGAATTTTTTTAAAACAGGGGTGGGGTGTTAATCAGCAGGTGCTACCAGCCATGTGGCAGAGGGAATTCAGGAACAATAGGCAGAGTCTTGGAAGTAACAGAATGGGTAAACGCAGGATAGGGCAACTGTTGCCAAATGGGAGGGAGCAGCGGGGGCGGAGCTGGGAAGTGAACCAGTTAAGACCTAACAAAAGAAACAGGACTGGAGGGAGACAGTCTGTTCTCTGCCCATCTTGGATCCAGGCTGTCCTCTGTGCAGACAGATGGCTCCAGTCTACATCTCTGGCTCCAACTTCTCTCCTTAGATCAATTCCCACAAATCAATTTCTTTTCTTTTCTTTTATTTATTTATTATTTATTTATTTATTTGAGACGGAGTTTTGCTGCTGTTACCCAGGCTGGAGTGCAATGGCGCAATCTCGGATCACCGCAACCTCCGCCTCCTGGGTTCAGGCAATTCTCCTGCCTCAGCCTCTCGAGTAGCTGGGATTACAGGCGTGCGCCACCATGCCCAGCTAATTTTTTGTATTTTGAGTAGAGACGGGGTTTCACCATGTTGACCAGGATGGTCTCCGTCTCTTGACCTCGTGATCCACCCGCCTCGGCCTCCCAGAGTGCTGGGATTACAGGCTTGAGCCACCGCGCCCGGCCTCTTTTTTTTTTATTTGAGAAGCAGTTTCGTTCTTGTTGCCCAGGCTGGAGTGCAATGGCATGCTTTTGGGTCATTGCAATCTCTGCCTCCCAGTTTCAAGCAATTCTCCTGCCTCGGCCTCCCAAGTAACTAGGATTACAAGTGGGCGCCACCATGCCCAGCTAATTTTTTGTATTTTTAGTAGAGACGGGGTTTCTCCCTGTTGGTGAGACTAGTCTTGAACTCCTAACCTCAGGTGACCGCCCCCCCCCGCCACCGCCTCTGCCTTCCAAAGTGCTGGGATTACAGGCCTGAGCCACTGCACCCAGCCACAAATCACTTTCTACTGTCTAGAGAAATGTTCCTTCTACTACTGTCCAGAGAAATGAATCATTCTGTACAGGATGAAAATAGAAAAAGAAGGAAGCAGATGTCCTGGTCTAACCAATCAGAGGAGTAGAAATTACCCCTGGCCATCAATGGGGACATAGATTTGGAGGGCAGATTGCATTTTTAATGGCTATTAGCCAAGTTCTTTTTTTTAAATTTAACATTTCCTTCATGAGCATTTCTGTAATCATGAAGAGTACTCACTTAAAAAAATTACTGGGCTGGGCACAGTGGCTCATGTCTGTAATCCCAGCACTTTGGAAGGCCAAGGAGGTTGGATCGCTCGAGCTCACGAGTTCAAGACCAGCCTGGGCAACATGGTGAAACCCTATCTGTACAAAAAATTAGCCAGGCATGGTTGTGCACTCCTGTGGTCCCAGCTACTTGGGAGGCTGAGGTGGGTGGATTGCTTGATCCCAGGAAGCAGAGGTTGCAGTGAGCTGAGATTGTGCCACTGCCCTCCAGGCTGGGTGACAGAGCCAGACCCTGTCTCAAAAAAAAATTATTGAAGTGTAACATATATATGGAAAGTTGCACACATCTAGAGTGTACATCTCGATGGATTTTCATCAACTGGACACACTCATGTAGACAGCTTCCCAGAAGTACCCCAATAAAAAGCACTTTTTTTTGTGGCAGAGTCTCTGACTATTCCCAACTCTGAGAAACCCCATTTATCTACTTTGTCTCCTCTGAGCTACTGAGTATGGTGAGAGAAGGTACAGAACCCTTCTAATTAAGGCCACTACAGGTTTTGGGGGGTGTGTGTGTGTGTGTGTGTCTGTGTGTGTGTGTGTTTTAATAGAGATGGCGTCTCCCTATGTTGCCCAGGCTGGTCTCAAACTACTGGGCTCAAGAGCTCCTCCTGCTTCAGCCTCCCAAAGTGCTGAGGTTACAGGCATGAGCCACTGCACCCCACCAAGGCCACTACAAATCCTTGCCATCTCTGTTTATCAACACCCTCACTGCTTGTCATGTTACGTTCTGAGTGCTAAGACTGGGCTTGTTGTTTGCCTTCATGTTAATCGGTGATATTCATCTATAACCTTCTAAGTGATCTATAGCTTCCAACTTATCTTTGTGAAGTTTAAACGATTCAAAGTGTATTAGTCTGTTCTTGTACTGCTATAAAGTACTACCTGAGGCCAGACATGGTGGCTTACGCCTGTAATCCCAGCACTTTGAGAGGCCAAGGTGGATGGATCACTTGTGGTCAGGAGTTCAAGACCAGCCTGGCCAATGTGGTGAAACCCCAACTCTACTAAAATTACAAAAATTAGCTGGGCATGGTGGCATGTACCTGTAGTCCCAGCTACTTGGGAGGCTGAGGCAGGAGAATTGCTTGAACCTGGGAGGTGAAGGTTGCAGTGAGCTGAGATCATGCCACTGCGCTCTAGCCTGGGTGACAGAGCGAGACCCTGTCTCCAAAAAAGAAAAGAAGAAGAAGAACCACCTGAGACTGGGTAATTAAAGAAAAGAGAAGTTTAATTGGCTCACGGTTTCACAGGCTATACAGGAAGCATGGCTGTACAGGAGGCCTCAGGAAGCTTACAATCCTGGTGGAAGGTGAAGAGGAAAGAGGCGCATTTTACATGGCTGGAGCAGGAGAAAGAGAAAGACGGGGAGGTGCTACACACTTTGATAAACAACCAGATCTTGTGAGAACTCACTATTACGAGAACAGCGAGAGAAATCCACCCCCATGATTTAATCACCTCCTACCAGGCCCTTCTTCCAACACTGGGGATTACAATTCAATATGAGATTTGGGTGGGGACACAAACCCAAACCATATCAAAAAGCTTATTTGCAATTTTACATTTTGAAAAGGATGACAAGGATGGGTTTGGAATATTCAACAAGCTGAAATACCTGTATGCTTTGTATGGTGGGATAGATGTCACTTTGGGTAAGCAGATGCTTTTACGTAGCACACGAACAGTTTCTTTTATTTGAACGAGCATGTATTTCTTTTAGTGAGTTCTAGAGTAAAATAGAATTAGCACACCAAACCCAATTTTTATCACTGCCATTGCTTAGAAGAGGGGTAAATTTTATAAATAAGTTGAATTAAAGTTGATTAAAGAAAAATGGTAATTACATAAGAGTACTGGTGACCTGCAGATGTGGCAGTAATTTCTAAGTGCTAGTTAAGTGACATTGCTACTGCATAATTTAGAAGTCCTGATATCTTTCTCTTTTTTTTTTTTTTTTTGAGACTAAGTTTTGCTCTTGTTGCCCAGGCTGGAGTGTAATGACGTGATCTCGGCTCACTGGAACCTCTGCCTCCTGGGTTTAAGCAATTCTCCTGCCTCAGCCTCCTGAGTAGCTGGAATTACAGTCATGTGCCACCACTCCTGGCTAATTTTGTGTTTTTAATAGATACTGGGTTTCTCCATGTTGGTGAGCTGCTCTCAAACTCTGACCTCAGGTGATCCACCTGCCTCGGCCTCCCAAAGTGCTGGGATTACAGGCATGAGGCATTGCACCCAGCCATCCTGACACCTTTCTCTTGGTGTATTTTAAATCCTAACAGGAAGAAACAGAGGAAGTTATATAGACTATGCCAAGAAAACAAGAATCAAACTCACCCTCAAAGTTATATTGAAATGGCATTTACTTCCTGTTATTGATCTCTTTGTAAGACATGTTTATGAGTCAGCTTTGTATTTAACAATTATGTAAATAGTTATCATGTCTTAGGTGGGTTTTCAGTTTATTGACATAAATCTGGGAATCCTATCAGCCATTCTATTTTTAGGACAAATTTTTTTCAAATTTTCAAAAAAATTTTTAACCCTCTGTCATCCAGGCTGGGGTGCAGTGGCACAATCACAGCTCACGGCAGCCTCGAACTCCTGGGCTCAAAAGATCCTTCTGTCTCAGCCTCCAGAGGAGCTAGGTCTTTAGGTGCATACATCATGCCCACCCAATTATATATATATATATATTTTGAGACAAGTTCTTGCTACGTTGCCCAACCTGGTCTCAAACTCATGGCCTCAAGTAATCCTCCCACCTCAGCCCTGTAAAGTGCTGGGATTACAGGCATGAGCCACTGCACCTGGCCCAAATTTACAAATTTAGACAAAATTTTCAAACTTATGAATAGGTATGAATCTCTAGTTCACATAACAAACCAATATGATAATGAGTTAGGTATTGTTTTGGTTTGGTTTTGTGTTGCTAAAGTTCCCATTCCGGGATCAGGTGGGCCAACTGAACACTCAATTTTGGGGTGTCTATATATAGAGTATTTGCCATCTGGTTCATAGCACCTTGTGTTTTTATGTTTCACTTTACTTAATCTTTGCTTCCACATCTAGGCTATAAACCTTAAGGGAAGAAACCACATCTATTTCCTTTCTGTATCCTCAGTACCAGCAGAATAGCTTGCTAAAGTAGACACGTACATCCCTACTGCAAGTCATTTGGTATATTCATCCAAAACTTTAGAAAAATTTTTATTATGGAAAAGTTCAAATGTATGCATCACTGACGCGTCATCTGGTGCTCAGTGTATGATGGACTATACTGTTTGCTGAGAATGACAGCAAGGAAAACCGAGCCGGCCCCCAAAGCAGAAAACTGCTCAGGGTGTTCTAAAATAGTAAACAGTATGTCTATATCACACACCAGTTAAACTAGTTCTTCAATCATGGGATATGTGACCCTGTCCCCATGGCTCCCTCGTGGAGAATGCTTTCTAGTTTTTCTTTGATCAGTGGTAAGTAGGCACCAGCTACCTGCCTAGTTTATTTTTGTTTTATGAGAAAACACAGAACACCTGTTTGTTAATAATAATCACCTGTTCAGAGAGAATAAATATGTGGGTCAAAGTCGGCTTGAGGCTCTCAACATGGAAGGCTGTTAGCCCCGACAGTCTCACTTTGCACTCTTTGTGTCTGTTTCTTAATTCCTTCACCACCACTTGTGGGTGTTGGGGGTCTCTATGACCGAGCTGGTCTTAGTAATCTGGCACTTTCTAAACTGTTGCATGGGTGCATAAGATGAAAGCCAGGGAAAGACGTCAGTTACATTTGTGCTTTCTCTTCACCAATAACAAAAGCAGAATACAGTACACCATGGGAAAGACACTGTTGTAAGAATTACAGAGCAACCAGAGAGAGGAAAGGCTCCTGACCTCCACAGCCAGCATGATGTAGGCAATGATCAACTGGGTGTGGGCCCAGGTGAGGGTTCTATAGAACAGCCTTATCGGCCAGGATCTGATAAACCCATTGGCAAAGGAGTGAATCAGGTAGTCAGCTTCCACCATCACAGCCCAGCAAAGGAAACCAAACACCTGTCCCGGATGGAGTCCATGCCACCAGGCAGAGAAGGCAAATGTCTGAAACAATGGCCAAGCCCTGCTGTTCTGGAATACAAGTCGTCGGAGCCATCGAGCTGTGCTTTGGTTCCACTTTCTTGCAAACACGGATATCCTGTGGGTTCTTTCCAGGGTCCAGATGTCTGCATCAGAGACATATTCCTCCTCTCCAGAGCTCTGACCAAGCTCAGACCCAAAGCCTGCTGCGTAGAGGAGGGAGTCGTCCAGGATCCAGTGGGAGTAGTAGGTGAGTTTAAAGAGCCCAGCTGTGGTCCACATGACATAGATGCACTCGAATTGCTGGCAATCTGTCAGTCCCACTCCGGCACCCACCACCCTGCTCACAGCCACGTTTAGGCACTCTAGTCCAAGAATCTGCAGACCCCTCCAGCTCAGAGTCCAGAAAGAGTGCCTCGGATACAAACTACTGGACCCTTGAACACGAGCCTGAAATTGCTGGAAGGAGCATAAAGAGCCTCCCAGGAGAGCAGGGAAAAAGAGCAAGTAGCTGAAATAGGGCAGTGCCATACACACATGCTCAGACAAAGAGCTCCTGCTCCTGATGATTCCAGATGCTGTCTCTGCTTTTCCCTCACAAATGTCCAGAGAGAGGGATGTGACCCTCTGGGTCAAGAGCATGAGAGAAGAAAGAGTGATGCAGAATCTGCAAGAGAATTTTTTTAAAAACATAAAAACACTCTGTATTTATTCTCTCTTATTCCAGTCTGCTATACATGATCTCACGGGAAATAGCTCTGCTCAGCTAAGATTAATCTCATGGCTTGCAGGACCCCACAAAGAGTAAATCTTAAAATAAAATAAATAAATCATATTTTTATTTATTTATTTATTTTGAGACAGAGTTACCCGGACTGGAGTGCAATGTCCGCCTTCTGGGTTCAAGCAATTCTCCTGCCTCAGCCTCCCAAGTAGCTGGGACTACAGGCACGCACCACCATGTCCAGCTAATTTTTTTATTTTTAGTAGAGACGGGGTTTCACCATGTTGACCAGGATGGTCTCGATCTCTTGACCTTGTGATCCACCCGCCTTGGCCTCCCAAAGTGCTGGGATTATAGGCATGAGTATTTATTTTTTTATAGAGATGGGGTTTTGCTATGTTGCCCAGGCTGATCTCAAACTCTTGGGCTTAAGCCATTTTAAGTAGCTCAATTCAAGTGCATCTATGTCATGTGGACCACAGTCCATCTCAGCCTCCCAAAGTGCTAGGATTACAGGCATGAGCCACCGCACCAGCAGTATTTACAGATCTTAAGTATACAGTGGAGCTGAAGTCTAGAAAAATATACCCCAAACTTTTAAGAATAGTTACCTCTAGGGAATGAGATTAGCCTAAGAATATCTTTCACTTTTTGCTTTGTTTGAATTTTTTGTAATAATTATGTTTTATATAAATAAGTATATGTATACCTGTGTGAATATGTGTGTATGTATGCATATATATTTTTTGTTTGTTTTAAAGCAAAGATTAGATGCACACATTTACACTCATGTTCAACTTGAGAAGCTTCCCAGGGATCTCAGAGATCCATCCCATCTTCTATCCTGAAATCTTCCATCCTGAATAGGAGAATTTGCGTGGGAAGTTTTACTTTGACAGCTGAAGACTCTTGAATTAATTCAGAAGCACACACTACCCCAATTCGAAAGTTGTGAGAATAAAAATGGAACCATGCTGGGTGCAGTGGCTCACACCTGGAATCCCATCAGATTGGGAGGCTGACATGGGTGGATCCCTTGAGCCCAGGAGTTCAAGGCTGCAGTGAGCTCTGACTGCACCACTGCACTCCAGCCTGGGCATCAGAGTGAGACCCTGTCTGAAAAAAAAGAAAGAAAGAAAGAAAAGAAAAATCAAGTCACTTGTGTTAAAAAGGAAAACCAAACAAAACAATTCTGACAAACAGCCAAGGAAAGGTCTAAAGAGAGGGTTCTCAATGCTTGTATGTCTGGTAACAAAAACTACCACAAAAGACTGCAAAAACTATTGCAACCCTTCACAAAAAAAATACTTTTGTGTGATGCAATCACCTGCCCAGCCACTGCCTGCCCAATCACCCTTGTCATTGATCCTGTACTCAAGGACAATAATTTCAAAACAATTGTATAATGCTTCTCATTTTTCCCTTAAAAATCTTTGTCTTCCTTTACCAACCTGAATACACACATAGTTTACTATGGCACACATATTCCCACCGTAATGCCCTATTCCTAAATAAGCATCATTTTCTCTTTTTGTTTCACTTTTTTTGGAGACGGATTCTCTCTCTGTGGCCCAGGCTGGAGTGCAGTGACACAATCTCAGCTCACTGCAACCTTTGCTGCCTCCTGGGTTCAAGTGATTCTCCGAGTCTCCCAAGTAGCTGTGATTACAGGTGCAGGCCACCATGCCTGGCTAATTTTTGTATTTTTAGTAGAGACGGGGGTTCGCCATGTTGGCCATGCTGGTCTCGAACCCCTGACCTAAGGTGATCTGCCAGCCTTGGCATCCCAAATTGCTGGAATTACAGGTGTGAGCCACTGGACCCAGCCATAAGCATCATTTTCTTTTCTTTTCTTTATGTTTTTCCCAATATACAGTCTCACTCTATCACCCAGGCTGGAGTACAGTGGCACTGTCTTGGCTCACTGCAACCTCTGCCTCCCACACTCAAATGATCCTCCCAGCTGGGACTACAGACATGTGCTACCATGCCTAGTTAGTTTTTGTGGTTTTTCTGTAGAGATGGGGTTTCGCTATGTTGGCCAGGCAAACTCCTGGCCTCCAAGTTGGTCTTGAATTCCTGGCCTCAAGTGATCCGCCCACCACAGCCTCCCAAAGTGCTGGGATTGCAGGCATGAGCCACCACATCCGGCCCCATCGTTTTCTTTTAGGGAGCCTCTTTCTGTTTGTTATTTAGGGTGATATCAGGTGGGATCAAGTAAATGGGGAAATTAAACATTAGTCAGAGATGCAAATAAGAGAATGATGAGGAACAATGTGGGAAATGATGATTATAATATTTCCAAGAAAGGCCGATAAAGATCAGGATCAGAGACCTGGGAGAAATTTGCCATAGAGGAGACAAAAACTGAGTAGTGAAGGGAAGATGGGAAGCTGAAGATTTTCAATATGAACCAGCCTCTGACTGTAAGACTCTGCCTAATGTGGGATTTGTACTGAGGCATGGATCACAATGTGTGCTCAGCCATTAGCAATTTGAAGTATAGTCTTAATCAATCACCTGAACTCTTACTGCTTTATCATCAAAGATCCTGCTGGCAAGAGTATTGAGGAGAACAATGAATGAAAATTAGGCTGGGTGCAGTGGCTCACACCTGGAATCCAGCACTTTGGGAGGCTGAGGTGAGGTGGGTGGATCACTTGAGCCCAGGAGTTTGAGACCAGCCTGGGCAACATGGCAAAACCCCATTTCTACAAACAATATGAAAATTAGCCCTGTGTGGTAGCACATGCCTGTGGTCCCAGCTACTGAGGAGGCTGAAGTGGGAGGATCACTTGAGCCCAGAAGGTCGAGGCTGCAATGCACCATGAGCATGCCATTGTGCTCCAGCCTGTGCAGCTGAGCAAGATCCTGTCTAAAAAACAAACAAACAAACAGACAAACAAAAAAAGCCTATACTCCCAGCACTTTGGGAGGCAGAGGCGGGTGGATCAGAGGTCAGGAGATAGAGACCATCCTGGCTAACACAGTGAAACCCTATCTGTACTAAAAATACAAAAAACTAGCCAGGTGTGGTGGCATATGCCTGTAGTCCCAGCTACTTGGGAGGCTGAGGCAGGAGAATCACTGGAAGCCAGGAGGCAGAGGTTGCAGTGAGCAGAGGTCACACCACTGCACTCCAGCCTGGGTGACAGAGCAAGGCTCCATCTCAAAAAAGAAAGAAAATTACAATGACACTCTACAATCAGGAACTCGAACACGGTCCTGTGGAGAGAAAACAGTCTCCCAACTGCTGCTGTTTCTGTGTCTGAAGATTTAAGAAAAACTGACCAGCTTACTTGATTGATTCTTACTGAAAGCAAGGTAGCATCCAAATGCCACCAACCCCTGGCTCCCTCACTCTCTCTTATGGACGGAATGTGTGTCCCCCAAGTTCAAGTGCTAACGACCTCACCCCAGTACCTGAAAATATGTGGAGTGAGGGTCTTTGAAGATGTGATTAAGGTTAAGTGAGGTCATTAGGATGGGCGCTAATCCAATATGCATGCAGTCCTTATCAGAACAATTAGGACACGGACACACACACAGAGGGGTGAAAATCATGAGGACCCAGGGGGATACTGCCACCTACAAGCCACGAGAATGGCCTCAGAAGAACCCAGCCCTGCTGACACCATCATCTGGGACTTCCAGCCTCCAGAACAGTGAGGAAATGAATTTCTGTTGTTTGAGCCACCCAGCACTGTGTGATGGCAACAGCCCTGCCCAACCAGCACCGCCTCCCATTCCAGGTCTGCTCCAGTGCAGTGTTCACGCCAAGGGCTTGAGACTGTTAGTGTGACTCGCCCCATCTTGGTTGCTGGACCTATCTGCTCTCCCCCCACTCTCGAGGGCTGTTGAGTCGAGGTAAAAATGGCTAAGCCACTGAGGCAAAAACAGAATGCAGAGTAAGGTCCTGTGGTTTATGAGGACATTGTGCTGACTGCTTCATATCCCCCTTAGTCTCTGTGTAGGCAATAGGCTTGCCGCAATTGAGATGCCTGAGAGGGGCAAAGACCCCTGCCCATATTTTCTCAGGAGCTGAGCCTTTGCTCTACCTCCTGATGGAAAACATAGTTAACAAGCCACCTTAAGGACACTATTGTTTGCACTGTGTATCTTTGAAAAACATATATTAACTCCTACACTGTTTTGTAAGCTATTATCACAAGCCCCCTTAAAACTGCTTTGTGAGCTGTTATCACAAGCCCCTGATAACTATTTTTACGTGATTTCTGTTCCCTTTTGTGTTTGCCCTCTTTTCTGCTGAGCTAAAGTAAGTGCTGAGCTAAAGTAAATGTAACAAGAAAAAAGGTATAAAAGCTGTAACCCACAGAAATAAAGTTGCTGCTTGACTTCAAGTCATTCAGAGCTCCAAACTCCACTTTTCTTTCTTCTTTCACTTCCGCGTGCTCTCTCCCTCAGGTTGAACGAGACATCTACGTTGGTGGTCTCGGGGGACTCTCACAGGTCAGTAGCCCCCTGGCAGACGTGCCGGACCCCAACACTCCAGCCTCCCTCACATCCAGCCAGATCCTGTTCAACTTGCCCTCCCAGCCCCATCAGGCCCCGGCTCCCTACCTACATCCTGATTCACTCCATCTCATTTGGTACTTCCTACGCCCCACCCACCTGCCATCTTGCCTTTTCCATATAGCAGCCAACCTAAAGACTTTCGTGAAAATAGTCTCTTTTTTGTTGAGACAGAGTCTCCCTCTGTTGCCCAGTCTGGAGTGCCGTGGTGTGATCTCAGCTCACTGCAACCTCCGCCTCTCGGGTTCAAGGGATTCTCCTGTCTCAGCCTCCTGAGTAGCTGGGATTCCAGGCATCCACCATTATGCCTGGCTAATTTTTGTATTTTTAGCAGAGATAGGGTTTCGCCATGTGGGCCAGGCTGGTCTTGAACTCCTGGCCTCAAGTAATCTGCCTGCCTCAGCCCCCCAAAGTGTTGGGATTACAGGAGTGAGCCACCATGCTGGGCTGAAAATAATCTTAATAGGAAAATTAAAAAAGGATTCTGGGTATAGTCAGGATGGCAAAGCAAGTGAACCAACCACAGGCTAGAATCAGATAGGCTAGAATCAGAGCATCACAGTCTCTGTGCTCCGAGGGACCCTGAAGCCAATTGTGATCATCAGAGACAGCCAGGATCATGACATCTCAAGATCGCAAAGCAGTGTTTCCCCCTTATCTCAGGGATCTTGCTGATTCACAATAACACTTCTCTAGATTGCAATTAGCTCTTGACTTCTATTTTCTAGATGGGGTGCCTACCCTTCTTCAGCAAGACGGGAACAGCTGAGTCTGAAGGAAGAAAAACACTGACACAGCAGCTGCTTCTCCCAGCAACTGCCATGGGAAGATTGATACCTGCACGCGGAGTGTCCACTCAGCCCGTGCGAAGGCTGGCAGACGGTGCTGAGTCACTTCCGGGCAGGCCTCCTCTGCGGGCTCTGGGATTCCAGCTTCGCCCTCCCTCTCAGGCACAATGACAACTACGGCACAGTGCCAGACACTGCACTACATAGGCAGCACGTGGCAGTGATGATTAGTCACAGAATCCCATTTATATTCATTCTAATCAAACTGTCATTGCATATATAACTGAAACAGTGAAAGAGATCTGACTTAAGAAACTCCATCTTTCTTCTAACCTCCTAGCTGTCCTTGTTCATTCCTGGGACTCATTTTGGGAGGAACTTGGTTTATAGCTTATAGTTTATAACAAAGACAATCACAGCCCTATCCCAAAACAAACACCCTTCTTGCCTGGACACTAGACGGCCTTTGTAGGACTAACAAATTAGCAAATGATCAGAAATTATGGCTTAGGAGTCACGCAGCTGGAGATGACAAGATTCCGACCCTCTCCATGTTGTTCCCGGGGATAACATTCCTATCATAAGGCCTACAATCAGTGCTTGAGATATTTTGCAGACCCTGCCCTTAATGGATCAGCTGGCACTACTCAGATCGATAAACTGGCTCATCTTATCTTGCGACCCCACCCAGGAATTGATTCAGGGCAAGAAGACAGTTCCGATTCCCTGTCATTTCATCTCCAATCCAACCAATCAGCACTCTTGACTCACTGGCCTCCCCCCTACCCACCAAATTATCCTTAAAAACTCAGATCCCCAATTGCTCGGGGAAACTGCTTATGATTACCCCAAATGCTTGGAGTAGTAATAAAACTCCTGTCTCCCACACAGCCAGCTCTCTGTGAATTACTCTTTCTCTATTGCATTCACCTGACTGCCTAGGTAGTAGAGAAGGTGAATCCATTAAGCAATTACACTAACATTGACAACACTCTTAGGCCGGGCACAATGGCTCACACCTGTAATTCCAGCATTTTGGGAGGCTGAGGCAGGTGGATCATGAGGTCAGGAGTTCCAGACCAGCCTGGCCAACATAGTGAAACCCCATCTCTACTAAAAATACAAAAATTAGCTGGACGTGTTGGTGCACGCCTATAGTCCTAGCAACTTGGGAGGCTGAGGGAGGAGAATCTCTTGAACCCAAGAGGCGGAGGTTGTGGTGAGCTGAGATCACACTGCTGCACTCCAGCCTGGGCAATAGAGCAAGACTCCATCTCAAAAGAAAAAAAAATCTTTCAATTTTTTGCAAGTATTGTTAACCCCATATCTTTTCCCATAAAAAGAAATGAGTATGAAAGAGGCGAAAGGACTTGCTCAAGGTCACACTGGTCAAATGTGGGAGAAGTAAGATTCCAACCCAACACCCAGGTTCTCTCTGCTACCACGGTAGTGCAAGCAAACCCCAGGTAGACCGAGTACTACCAGTGAACAGGCTGCTTACCTCGCAGAAGGAGGCTCATGCAGGTAATACTCAGTGTAGTGCAGACCCAGGTGACACAAGGTCTGCCAACTCATCTGAAAGCAGAAGGTCCACCTGTGGACTTGCTGCGGGGCCAGAGAACAGAGGAGAGCCACCGTGCAGACAGCAGGGGTGAAGACGAGCACGGCATAGGGACCCATGGCAGCCACAGCCAGGGCGCCTCCTCCAGCCAGGAGAAAGAGATACCTGAAAGAGAAGGGACACCCTGGGGAGAACAATTTAGAACCGTGAAGCAAAGGAATTGCTGCAAATGTCACTCCAGGGAACCCGATGGGGTAGGCCCCACACAACACCTAGAGTAGCGGCGCTGTTAGCACTCTGGGGCCTTGCTTTTGTTCTTCGGAAGAAAAGAATCATGGGAGAAAGAGCCAGAAATTCGTAAACTTAAACTTCTGCCTTAGAGACAAATCTTTTTTTTTCTTTTTCCTTTTTTTTTTGAGACAGGGTCTCTCTCTCTGTCACCCAGGGTGAGTATAGTGTTGCAATCATGGCTCACCGCAGCCTTGACCTCCTGGGCTCCCCACCTGGGAGAAACTACAGCCATGCACCACCATGCCTGGGTAACTTTTAATTTTTTTAGAAATGGGGTCTTGGTGTGTTGCCCAGTCTCAGACTCCTGGCCTCAAATTATCCTCCTGCCTTGCTTCCCAAAGTGCTGGGATTACAGGCATGAGCCACCACACCAGGCCACTGCAGAATCTTGACTCCTTTTTGTCGGCACCAACACTGGCTTTTGGGGCCCCCTGGCTTTCTTCATTCTGTCCTTGCATTCCTTTTGCTGTTTTCTTGAGGTCTTTTTCTTCTCATCTGGCCTATGTCTTGCAGGTTTATGCTTGGGTTCACTTTTCTTTGCATAATCCAGGGAATCATAAACAATGCCAGTTATCTTGCTACAACACAATAGGGTCAGAATCGAAATACAAAGAAAAAGAAGATATCCTTTTTTTTTTTTGAGATGGCATTCACGCTTGTTGCCCAGGCTGGAGTGCAGTGGTGTAATCTTGGCTCACCACAACCTCCACCTCCTGGGTTCAAGCGATTCTCCTGCCTCAACCTCCCGGGTAGCTGGGATTACAGGCATGTATTACCATGCCCAGCTAATTTTGTATTTTTAATAGATACAGGGTTTCTCCATGTTGGTCAGGCTGGTCTCAAACTCCTGACTTCAGGTGGTCCACCCACCTCAGCTTCCCAAAGTGCTGGGATTACAGGCATGAGCCACCGCGCCCGGCCTGATATCCATCTTATATATCATGTCCATGTGATCTTGTAAATCTTGGCTAGTTTTTCCCAAATTTCTTTTTTAGTCCTGCTGCCTTCTCAGAGTGAAGGATGACCATGACCATTTGTTTCCACTGAAGTCATCAGTTGATATGAACTCCTTTGTCTGGACAGCTGCTGTGTCTTTCATGATAGTGGCCAATTTTCAGGTGGCCAGGGAGGAAAAGGGCAGTCTTTTGTCTTGTTTTTGAGATAGGGTCCCTGTTACCCAGGCTGAAGTGCAGTGGCACGATCATGACTCACTGCAGCCTTGACCTCCCCGGCTCAAGAAATCCTCCCACCTCAGCCTCCTTAGTAGCTGGAACTTAAGGCATGCACCACCATACTTGGCTAATTTTTTTTTTTTTGTATTTTTTATAGAGACAGGGTTTCACCATGTTGCCCGGGCTGGTCTTGAACTCCCAGACTCATGTGATCCTTCTACCTTTGCCTCTCAAAATGCTGGGATTACAGGTGTGAGCCAGTGTGCCCAGCCAGTGTTTTCTTTAAAATGTTGTAAAATACCCACATTGATGGAATGGTTTGTGAATCATGCCTCTCTCAGAAGCCAGGGAGATGTGGATATGCAGAGGGCTGGGTCGGTTCACATTAGGCACCCTTGGTTCTTCCTTCTGCATTATATGGAGGCTTGTTTTTTAATTGGTGCCAAATTAATAAAGCTGAATGAAGGGGTCGGAAAAAGTGTGGAATAACTGGGTGCAGTGGCTCATGCTTGTAATCCCAGCACTTTGGGAGGCTGAGGCAGGCAGATCACTTGAGGTCAGGAGTTCGAGATCAGTGTGGCCAACATGGTGAAACCCTATCTCTACTAAAAACACACAAAAAATTAGTAGGGCATGGCGGCGGGCCCCTGTAATCCCAGCTACTTGGGAGGCTGAGGCAGGAGAATCGCTTGAGCTCAGGAGACAGAGGTTGCAGTGAGCTGAGATCAGACTGCTGCACTCCAGCCTGGGTGACAGAGAGTGACTCCATCTCAAAAAATAAGCAAGCAAGCAAGCAAGAAAGAAAAAGGGACTGACTGGTCAGGGAAAGCGAGTCTAAGAAGCCTATGATTTCTCTACCAACTCAGAACCAGGAAACACTATTGCAGGGCAAATGTGTGTTACAGCTCCGGGCACAGTGCCAGGAACAGGTTGGCAAGAACCAGTTTCTTGGGAGAGAGCGTTAGGTGTCTCAATATGAGAGGATCTATTATTCAAAAGCCTGGACCATTCCTGTGCTTCTCTTTGAGCCTATACTTGGAATGACTTCCCTGCTCAACACCCTAGTTAATACTGTGGTCCAAGCCTTCAATTCCCTGCTATGGGAAAACAAAAGGGGAACATTTATTCTTTACCCAGCAACCCTCCCACCCAGAGGCAACTCCCCTAGGAGATTTATAAACATTAAGTTGTCTGTACATGGATAATGTAGAATGTGTGGCTTAGCGATTACATATTTCATTCTAGGCATTGTGCTAATATCCTTTATGAGAAATATATTTAATACTTAAAATAACCCCATGAGATAAGCATTATGTTTTCTGTTTTATAGATAAGGACACTTGGGGGAAGTATATTCACATACACAAGGACACTCAGTTAGGTGAGGGAGTTAAAACTCAACAGGCTGAATCCAAAGTGAGCAGTCTTTTTTATTTCATTTTTATTTTTTTGACAGTCTCACTCTGCTGCCCAGGCTGGAGTACAGTGGCATGATCACCACTACAACCTCAGACTCTGGGGCTCAATGGACCTTCCTGCCTCAGGCTCCTAAGTAGCTGGGACTACAGGCATGCACCACCATACCCGGCTACTTTTTTGTGCTTTTTGTAGAGACAGAAGTTTTGTCATGTTGCCCAGGCAGGTCTCGAACTCCTGGGCTCAAGCTATCCACTTGCCTCAGCCTCCCAATTACTCAGATTACAGGTATGAGCCACTGCTTCCAGCCAGAAACTGAGCTATCTTCACCCTAAGGAAACTCCATGAGGATTAATCCTTATTTTTGCACACGTTTTGCTTTATTGTTTTGTGATTCTTTCTCAAAAGGAAACTTCTTTACAGTTGTTCCCCAACTCCGATCTCCCATAAATGAAGATAAGGGCCATCAGACAGTTGTGAACACGTGATCATACTATAATTTAATCAAATTCTGCAATCCTAACTGATCATTAGATACAGCTATATTTTATTTAAGAATCCCAGTATATAAAAATTATAATTCCCAAAATAAGTGAATTATTAGGAAGTGGCCCTTTGGCAACAGATTTTCACTTTACAAAAGGACAAAAAATCATTCCACCAAACCTTTTTAAAAATAGGGACTGTCAGGGAAAAGGGGTTGAAAAGCTGTCAGGTGCTGTGCTCAACCCCTGGGTGATGGGCTCAATCATACCCCAAACCTCACCATCACACAATATACCCATGTAACAAACCTACACGTGTACCCCCTGAATCTAAAATAAAAGTTGGAATTATTTTTTAAAATATATTTCAAATTATCTGGGCATGGTGGCGCATGCCTGTAGTCTCAGCTACTAGAGAGGCTGAGGCAGGAGAATCCCTTGAACCCAGGAAGTAAATGTTGCAGTGAGCCGAGATCGTGCCACTGCACTCCAGCTTGGGTGATAGAGGGAGATTCTGTCTTCAAAAATATACGTAAGTAAAATTAAATTAAATTAAAAATGTATCTGAGACTTTTCAATTTAATGGAAAATCATGTAGTCACGTTAACAGTACACTCACCATTTCTGTTCTATATTCAGTTAAGTTCTTGCCTTCTGACTATGTTAAAAAATAAAATCTTATATGAGCAATCTTAAAAGACAGGTACTGTCTGTAATGCGTTGAGGTTATTTGATATTAAAAAATCATTACCATCAAGTCATCACATCTCTAGTGACAATAATTTTTGAACTTCAAATTATCATATAGCTAATTTAACAGGATTCATTTTGACTTATTTCATTTCTCTGAGAATTCATATACAGGCACTTTAAAAATCACATTTATTTATAATACAACTTATACTGATGTAACTTTATATAAAATTTAATTTGATTGAAAATGATAAAATTCCATGAAATTAGGACTATTCAAGACTATCTGAGATCTGTGGTTGACAGAGATGTATCCACTGGGAGAATTCCTGTACCATTACAACAACCATCTCTCCTGAGAGTTTATTTTCATCCATTTGCCATTTAATGTGAACCCAGCAAACCTTACATCAATGCACACAGGATGTGAATTTCCAATTTAATTTTACTCTATTATACCTAGTAATTATCAAGCAATCGATAATCAGTGACAGTGATAGTAAGTTAAAAACAAATGTAAAAAATATATCATAATCTTCACATCTGCAGTCTACTCTGCTTTTTGCCCTACTGTAGTATTTCTGGGTTTTGGTGTTTTTTTGGTGGGGAGGGATAGAGTCTCACTCCATCGCCCATCCTTACCCAACCTCAGCTCACTACAACCTCCGCCTTCTGGGCTTAAGCAAGTCTTCTGCCTCAGCCTCCTGAGGAGCTGGAACTACAGGCCTGAGGCACCATGTCTGGCTAATTTTTTGTTTGTTTTTTTAATAGAGACGGGGTTTTGCTGTGTTGGCCAGGCTGGTCTCAAACTCCTGGCCTCAAGTGATCCTCTCACCTCAGCCTCCCAAAGTGCTGGGATTACAGGCAAGAGCCACCGCGCCTGGCCACTATAGTATTTCTGAATGAAGGAGTAAAATAGCCATCCAGCCTACCTGGCACGAATGGAGAATGAATCCATGATGCAGAGATAATTGAACAGAAGTGCAAAAGGAAATGCAGCCCCCTGATAAAATGATACAGGATGGAGAAAGAACAGCCGAAGCCACTTCATTATGAACCAAAACAAAAGATCCTGCCTTTTCCAGTGTCCTTAACGGATGCCTTCCTCCAAGACTCATCTCAACCAGGCTCTCTCTGGTCTTTTTATCTGGTTTAGGGGGGGCTAAGGTGAGCAAAAGGCAAACAAAAGCTCTGGAGATAAGCAGAATAAAAACTGGCTTTCTGATTGAGGAACTACACTATGGAAACAAAAACCCATTTTGGTGTGACATTAATAATGGCATGCACTAAGAACATTGCTTTTGGAAGCTGGTTGAGTTTCATTTACCTAGTGTACTATTCTATTTGCCTTTCCAGTCATTATGCTGTCATATTTTCTTCACTAAGTTACTGAAAATCTCATTTCCCAACTGAGGACAGGCCACTCCCTGGACTGAAAGGGGGAAACAGGAATGTGGTCAGGAGGAAGGGAAGCAGGTTCTGTTCTTTTTCTTTTTTTGAGATAGGGTCTGGCTCTGTCGCCCAGGCTGGAGTGCAGTGGTGCAACCTCGGCTCACTGCAACCTCCACCTCCCCAGCTCAAGCGATCCTCCCACCTCAGCTTCCTGAAAAACTGGGGGTACAGGCATATGCCACTACACCTGGCTAATTTTTGTATTTTTTTTTTGTAGAGATGGGGTTTTGCCATGTTGGCCAAGCTGATCTCAAACTCCTGGGCTCAAGTGATCCTCCTGCCTCGGCCTCCCAAAATTCTGAGATTACAGGCATGAGGAACTGCACCCAACTGGAGGCAGGTTTTAAGGAAAAAACCAAGATCCTCTTTCCTCACCACAACTCTCCTCATTTTTTTCTATCAGTACTCCTTATGTGTCTATTTCTCAATTCATTTGCCTGCCCCCTTTACAATGTGAGCTCTACAAGGAAAGGGCTTTGTTTTGTAGATTACTATATCCCTAGCACACAGGACAGTGCTGAATACATACTATATACTCAGTAAATATTTGTTTAAGTTTAAAAGATTTCGAGGAGGTCAGCCGTGGTGGCTCACGTCTATAATCCCAGCACTTTGGGAGGCTGAGGCGGGTGGATCATCTGAGGTCAGGAGTTCGAGACCAGCCTGGCCAACATGGTGAAACCCCGTATCTACTAAAAAATACAAAAATTTAGCTGAGCATGGTGGTGGACACCTGTAATCCCAGGTGCTCAGGAGGCTGAGGCAGGACAATCACTTGAACCTGGGGGGGCGGAAGTTGCAGTAGACCAAGATCACGCCATTGCACTCCAGCCTGGGCAACAAGAGTGAAACTCTGTCTCAAAAAAAAAGGTATGTTTGTGTCTATTTATTTATTGAGACAGGTTCCCACTCTGTTGCCCAGGCCGGAGTACAGTGGCACAACCTCAGCTCATTGCAACCTTGACCTCCTGGGCTCAAGTGATCCTCTCACCTCAGGCCCCCAAGTAACTGGGACTACAGGCATGTGCCACCATGCCTCGCTAATTATTGTATTTTTTGTAGAGACAGGGTTTTACCATGTTGCCCAGGCTAGTCTTGAACTCCTAACTCAAGCAATCCACCTGCCTCAGCTTCCCAAAGTGCTGGGATTACAGGCGTGAGCCACTGTGCCTAGCCTTAGTATTAATTTGTTCCTACCTGTACTTTTTGCACTCTGTAATCAGTACATTTTATTTTCAGGGTTCAAACAATTCACTGATCCCTGAAAAGCCTATAGGCCCCAGACACCATACCTAATACCGATAAGATGGTTCTTTATAAGTAGGTCATAGAAGTCTTTCAAATTAATCTAGATAGTGCTTGAAAATGGATAGGCATTTACATGGTTGGCAGCAACAGAATATTCTAAATTCATTCATATACTCATTCAACAAGTTTTAGGGGAGTATCAATCATGCACCAGGCACTGTGGTTTGTGCTGAGTAACGAGTGAGAACAAAACTCATCTGGTCTTACCTTGGTGGAATTTAAGTCTTTGGAGGAAATGGTAAAATAAGTAAGTATAGCTGGTGATGAGTATAATCCTTACCCCATAGAGAAAATAATTAGAATAGGAAGGGTAGCCTGTTTTTTATTAGATGGTACTATGGTCTGAATGTTTGTGTCCTCCAGAATTCATATGTTGAAATAAAACCTTCAAGGGGCCGGGTGTGGTGGCTCACGCCTGTAATCCTAGCACTTTGGGAGGCCGAGGTGGGTGAATCATCTGAGGCCAGGAGTTCAAGACCAGCCTGGCCATCATGGTGAAACCCCATCTTAAAAATAAATAAATAAATAAAACCTTCAGGGTTCTGTCTTCTCTGACAGAAGTGTCTTCTCTGCAATTAAGAGGTGGGACATTTGGGAGGTGATTCGATGATAAGGGCTCCTACCAGACACAAAATCTCCAGTGCTTTGATCTGGGACTTCCCAGCCTCTGGAACTGTGAGAAGTGTCTTTGTTTATAAATTACAGTAGTCACACTTATCCATGGTTTCATCTTCTATGGTTTCAGTAACCTCTAGTCAATGTCAGTCCAAAAACATTAAATAGAAATTCCAGAAATAATTTGAGAGTTTTAAATTGTGCACCATTTTGAGTAGTGTGATGAACTCTCGTACCATCCTGCTCTCTCTGGGCCAGGGCATGAATCATCCCTTTGTCCTCCATATCCACACTGTTGATACTACCTGCTCATTAAACCCTTCTCAGTTTTCAGATACTCTGCTGCAGTATCAGAGTGCTTGTGTTCAAGTTAGTCTTATTTTACCTCATAATGGTCCCAAAGCACAAAATTAGTGATGCTGGTGATTTGGATCTGCCAAAGAGAAGCTGTAAGAAGCTGTAAAATGCTTTAAGTGAAAAGGTGAAATGTTCTTGACTTAAAAGGAAAGAAAAAAACTATATGCTGAGATTGCTAAGATCTATGGTAAGAGTAAATCTTTTATCCATGAAACTCTGAAGGGCAAAAAGGAAATGTGCGCGTAGTATCTAGAGGGTTCAGCACTAACTGTGGTTTCAGGCATCCACTGGGAGTCTTGGAATGTACCCAGTCTAAGGTATGACCGTCCCTCAGTGTTCTTGCAGAACTGGTTCCTGGACACCCTGATACCAAAATCTGCAGATGCTCAAGTCCCTCATATAAAATGGTGTAGTATTTGCATATAACTAACAGATGCATATCTATCCTCCCCTCTCCTTTAAATCATCTTTATATTACTCATAATATCTAATACAGTTCCTACATATCACTCCATTCACGTGGCTCCAATGTAGTACTTGGCATGCAGCAAATTCAAGTTTTGCTTTTTGGAAAATTGTGTAATTTTTCCTCCCAAATTCTTGATCCAACGTTGGCTGAATACCTGAATGTCAAACCCACAGATACAAAGGGCCAACTGTATTTTGTTATAGCAGCCAGAAAGAACTAAGATGGTCACGGAGAGTTTCCCTGAATGTGAGAGTCAGTTTTTGGTCTCAATGTGGTTAGGTTACATTCCCAAGTCATTAGTCAAACACTAATCTAGGTGCTGCTATAAAAGTATTTTGTGGATGTGATTAAAGTCTATAATCAGTTGAGTTTAAAGAAGGGAGATTATCCTAATCTGGATTGGCCTGATTCAATCAGCTGAAGGCTGTTAAGAGCAGAGCTGGGCTCCCCTGAAGAAATTCCTCCTGTGAACAACAGCCTCACCCCCTGCATGAGAATTCCAGCTTAGTCTACAGATTTTGGACTTGCTTAGCTGGGCCTCCACAATCACATAAGCCAATTCCTTATAACAAACCTCTTGATAGACATCTCCTACTAGTTCTGTTTCTCTGGTTGAAAACTGAGGAGTATGTGACATCTGAGACATAAAGGGTCAGAAGGTGTTAGTGTCAGGGCGAGTGGAAGTAGCTGGGGCTGGAGAGTCAGCTTTGCTTTTTGGAGAATGAGGGTGTGTTTGAACACAGAGAGGAAGAGGAACATGAAATGAGAGACGAGAGAAGTAGGCAGGCACTGGATCTAGCACAGAGATCGGTTACGGAAAGCAGTTTGGATTTTAAGAGGTAAGGGAAATAAAATCACTAAATTTGGCTCTCAGTTTTTTTTTTATTATATACTATAGAAAACAAACAAACAAACAGAGATGGGATCTTGCTGTGTTGACAGGGCTTGTCTCCAATTCCTGGCCTCAAGCAATCCTCCCATCTTGGCCTTCCAAAGTGCTGGGATTACAGGTGTGAGCCACCACACCGGGCCTCTATTTTTCTTTTAAAGGATGATTTTTACTACAATAGAACGACTTGGATTAGGATTGGGGGCAGGAGATGAGGGGGTGTGATTTCAGAGGCCAAGAATGAAAGGAGTGAACAATAGGGAGAGACACAGCGGCTGAGGTTAGAGAGATGGCAGGGTTGACAGTGTAAAGTGTAAGCAGGAGACCCGAGCTAGGACCAGCAAAACTTGTAGGTCTATTACAGATGTAGGGGTGAGGAGTGCCAGGGTGACTCTTGGGTGTGCAGCTTGAGCAACTGGGCAAATGGTGTGGATCAAAAAAGCAGCAGTTTGGAGGGAGGACGGGAGTGTTGATGGAAAGTCCCGTTCTGGAAGTTTAGGTTTGATATGACTCTGAGTGGAGATGTTAAGTAGTCACCCAAATATCAGGTGTGAAGATCTGCAGAGAGGGCAGAACCGGAGACATTCATTCGAGAGCAAGCAGGTGGAGGGCACTTAACCTATGGTGAGGATGCGCTCATATAGAGCGAGAAAAGGGCAGGAGGAGCCGTAATGTGTAGAGAAAGGCAGAGGCTGAAAAGGACCATCCGCGAGGTCAGAGGAATACTTTTAGAGTGTGATCACGCCTATGGAAAGGAGTAGGTAAAAATGAGGGCATAATAACGCGCGTTTGATGGCAATAAACAGCTTTGTTTCTTTTATCAGGGATATGGTCCAGCTTTGTAGCCCAGGCTGGAGTGCAGTGGCGTGGGCATAGCTCGCTGCAAGCTACACTGGGCTCAAGCGATCCTCTCGAGTAGCTGGGGGTACTGGGTCAGGCCACCAAGTCAGGCTTTTTTTTTTTTTTTTTTTTAAGGGAGCGAGGGTCTCACCAGTTACTCAGGCTAGTCTCGCATCCTGGCCTCAAGCGAGCCTCCTGCCTCGGCCTTTCGGCCTCCCAGAGCGCTGGCTCCGAATTAGGGTCTACAGACTCCAGGACAGGGAGTCTACAATCCGCGGGCAGCCCCGCACTGCCCCTACTCACAGTACTGCGCGCCCAGCCTCGACGCAAACAAGAGCCGCGAGCTTCCCTAGCCCCGCCCCCAGGGTCCTCCGCCCCACCCCGGCTCCACCCCTCTCCGAACACTGCCAGGTTCTCCAATCGCTTGTGGAATTATCGCTCTACCCAGGCGGTGGTGTAGATCTCTGCTGCAATTGGGGCCGTACGATGGCGGAGAAGACTCAAAAAAGGTGGGTCTGCTGTCTGAGAAAAGCCCTTTCTTTCCTCTCCGTAGGGGTGGAACCTGTTTCTGCTCGCCAATGGTGTCATCTCAGAGGGTGTCTCACCCTGGACCTTCGAGATGAATGTACCTCAAGCCCAGACCTGGTGTTCGCTGAGGGAGAGGGCGACGGAATGGGGGCGGGGAAGGCTGAGAGGGGACGCGGAGTCGCGGGCTAGAAGGATTTTGTTCCCATCTTGCTGTTCCTCCCCGCACGCGCCTGCGCAGAAGGGGTCCCCCGGCGGGGCTGCTAGGGGAGGGTGACGTCAGCCCTTTCCTGGGGCGCAGGGGGAAACCAGGCCCCTTCTCCCGCATAATCTGCGGTGCTTGGCGCAGCTGGACACGCGGTTTAGCGCTGGATTCTCTGCTGCGTGTTGTGAGACTCCCACGCTAGTGCTGGCCTCACCCTAGGCCCTTCCTGCCTCTGGAGGGCGGGGTGTGTGAAGTGACTTACGGTCGCTGTCAAAAGGGGGGGCCGCGCCTGGACTTGAACTGTGATACACACATACACATACACATACACATACACATACACATACACATACACATACACATACACATGCACATACACATTAAGATGCAGGGAGTACGTGCGCAGATTTGTTGCATGGATATATTGTGTAATGGTGAAGTTTGGGTTTCTATACTTAACACCCAAATAGTGAACATTGTATCCAATGGGTAATTTTTCGGCCTTCACACCCCTCCTATCCTCGCTGCTTTTAGAGTCCCCAGTGTCTGTTATTTCCCTCTTTATGTCCATGTGTACTCATTTTAGCTCCCAGGTAAAAGTGAGAACAAGCATATTTAATTTTCTGAGTTATTTCATAAGATAATGGCCTCCAGTTTCATCCATGTTGTTGCAAAAGACATGATTCCTTTCTTTTTCATGGCTCTGTAGTATTCCATAGTCTAGATACACCACATTTCCTTTATCCAGTCATCCGTTGATGGACACTTAGGTTGATTCCATACTTTGGTATTGTGAATAGTGCAGTGATAATCATAGGAGTGTAGTTGTCTTTTTAATACAGTGGTTTCCTTTGAGTAGATCCTGGGTCGAATGGTAATTCCATTCGGATTGGTAGTTCTGTATGGATTTCTGGGTCCAGTGGTACTTCTCTCTTGAGTCCTTTGAGAAATCACCTTACTATTTTCAATAGATGAACTAATTTACATTCCCACCAACAGTGTATAAGCTTAGAACTGTGACATTTTTTTGCCAGGCGTCGAGTGGACAAGCTCCTTTGTAAACATGTGGGGATGGGAATTGTGGCTGCTTCTCTGGCAGTTGTCATTGCTGGGGCTGTTGGTGGCTGGAATGAGACAAGTGCGTAACTAAAGCCCTTTCGAACAGCAGAAGTGTTGAGCTCCCTCTGCTGACTCTTTTTGACAAAGAAAACTCATTGTTTCTGGTGCCATAAATTAAAATGTAGATTTTTCTTCCACTTAAGCAATTAATCTGTAATCTTTTTTTTTTTAAGCTAAAGAGGAACAGATGGACTATAAATATTACGTGCAGTAAATAATATTTGCAGTGAAGATGAAAGTATTGTTGACTTGTTACTTTAACAGATCTGAGGAGAAGTCTTGCCCTCCCATCTGCTGGCTCCCCTCTCTGTCCCCACCACTCCGAGATACAGAGAGGCCCTCGCAGAGATATTGGGACCATGTTTTAGTTGGCCTAGTGATGAATTAATTATTCCCTGCCCCATTGAGAAGTGTGCTGATTGTAACGCAAGCATTACCTGGGATCTCTCCCTTGGGATCTCTCCCTTGGGTGTAAAACTGAAGGCAGGGGGCACTTGTGAGTCTCTCCTACTCTCGATTGCCCAGGACAAGTTAAATGTTAGATAATGCTCTTTTCATAATGAGAAGGAAGCTGAGAAAATGGAAAATTGTAATGAGAAATAAGGTCTAAAACAAGAAACATTTTATAGAGGCCAATTTATTTGACCAGGGCTTAATAAAATTACATATTTTAACACAAAAAAACCCACTTTAAATGAAAAGTATCAGAGAAAGGACATTTATAGATGGTGTTACATTCAAGGACAGTGTCATTCATTTATTATGGAAAAACATTTGGAGTGACAGGATGTTTCCAGAAGACTTTCAACTAGAAGAGAGATGACTGATTTCAGGACATCAATGCCCCAGGAATGAACTCTGCTTGAAGAAATTCCTAGTTTCTGAATTTCAGTTTCTTCTTCCATAAAATGAGAGGGTTAGACCAGGTGATTTTCTGCTTTTACTAAAATTTTTCTTTCTTCTACTTTGTTCTAATCTCACTAAAATCTTTCTCCTCTGATACAGTAAGAGGGTTACATATTTTCTGTGATTTCAGCAGATTGACTCTTTTTTTTTTTTTTTTTTTTGAGACGGAGTCACTCAGGCTGGAATGCAGTGAAATCTTTGCACCATTCCTGGTTCCTTTTTTTTTTTATAAATGGAGTCTTGCTCTGTTGCTGAGGCTGGGGTGCAGTGATGTGATCTCAGCTTACTGCAACCTCTACCTCCCAGATTCAAGCAATCATCCTGCTTCAGCCTCCAGAGTAGCTGGAACTACAGGTGCCCACCACCACACCCGGCTAATTTTTGTATTTTTAATAGAGACAGGGTTTCACTATGTTGTCCAGGCTTGTCTGAAACTCCTGACCTCAAGTGATCTGCCCACCTCAGCCCCCCAAAGTGTTGAGATTACAGGCGTGAGCCACTGCACCTGGCCTAGATTGACTCTTGACAGGCTATATCACCCAGAAGGACCACTAGTAGGATTTCATTGACTTATGCCTTGTAAAAAGTCAGAGCCTGACAAAATGATGGAAAATGCTGGAGTGGTGTCTGTTCTCACAACTATTTCTTGAAGATAGATTCAGGGATCATTAGTTTTTTCTATATGATACATTTTTTTCTTAGAGCTTTAAAAATACATTGCAGTATGAAGGTTTCTCCACTCTAATTTGTGGAAGAAAAAATTGTGTATGTCTTCTTTTCTTATGGTTCATCACACCACTAGGGAAGTTGGTACAATCTTAAAAATAGTTTTTGTCTGATAGTTTTCATCTTACTTTGCATGTATATTAAGGAATACTTGGGGGGGAGATTCTGGCATAGAAATGGTGGAGAGACATGTTAATGAAAGAACCTTTACCCTTCTGACTCTCAGAGCTGTATTTTTAGAACTCTCTCATGAGCTTCAGAATCTGTGTTTTCAGTTACTTATTGGGCATATCTGGTGACTATTCCATAGATACCTCAGAAGGAATTTATCTAAAATTTAGTCTTTTGACTTCTCCCTCTGAAATCTGCCCCTCTTCCCATATGCTATTCTCATGTGGCGCTGTTAGTTTTCCAGATCAGAAACCTAGAGGCTTTGACCTTGCTCCCTGACTCCTGACTTTTGGTTAGCTTTCTTTTTGTTTTCTTTTTTCTATTTTGAGGCAGGGTTTCACTCCATCACCCAGGCTGGAATGCAGTGGTATGATCTTGGCTCACTGCAACCTCTGCCTCCTGGCTGGGCTCAAGTGATCCTCCCACCTCAGCCCTCTAAGTGGCTGGGAGTACAGGCCCAAGCCACCATACCTGGCTAATGTTTGTATTTTTTATAGAGACGGGGTTTCACTATGTGGCCCAGGCTTGTTTTGGTTGGTTTTCTGGCATAAATGAAGTTGAGTCAGAGCAGCTGATTTTGAGCCCTGGAATTTGAGCTTCCCTCTCCATCTGGAATCATCCCTTCCCAGAAAGGGGACAGGATGGCACCAGTTTCCTTATTTTATTCCATGCGCCTCACTTCCATCCCTCTGTAGTTGATATGGTTTGACTGTGTCCCAACCCAAATCTCATCTTGAATTGTAGTTCCCGTAATTCCCATGTGTCGTAGAAGGGACCAGGTGGAGATAATTAAATTATAGGGCCATTTCCCCATCCCGTTCTCATGATAATGAATTAGTTCTCACGAGATGTAATGGTTTTATAAAGGGCTTTCCCCTTCATTGGGCACTCATTCTCCTTCCTGCCGCCATGTGAAGAAGGATGTGTTTGCTTCCCTTTCTGCCATGATTGTAGGTTTCCTGAGGCCTCCCGAGGCATGCTGAACTGTGAGTCAATTAAACCTCTTTCCTTTATAAATTACCCAGTCTCAGGTATGTGTTTATTAGCAGCATGAGAACAGACTAATATAGGACAAATTTATTTCCCCTGCACAGAGAAGAAAGCAAATATAGTTTGCTCTCCATATCCATAGGTGTCACATCCATGAATTCAAACAACCTCAGATCAAAAATAGGATAAAAAATTGTGTCTGTAATGGCCGGACACGGTGGCTCACGCCTATAATCCCAGCACTTTGGGAGGCCGAGGCGGGTGGCTCACAAGGTCAAGAGATCGAGACCATCCTGGTTAACAAAGTGAAACCCCGTCTCTACTAAAAATACAAAAATTAGCTGGGCATGGTGGTGCGTGCCTGTTCCGGCTGAGGCAGGAGAATTGCTTGAACCCAGAAGGTGGAGGTTGTGGTGAGCCGAGATCGTGCCATTGCCCTTCAGTCTGGGTAACAACAGCAAAACTCCGTCTCAAAAAAAGAAAAAAAAAATAGTGTGTGTAAACAACACAGTATAACTGTTTACATAGAATCTCCATTGTATCAGGTATTAGAAATTGTCTACAGATGACAAAGTATGAGAGGATGTATATAGGTTTTATGCAAATACTGTAGCATTTTATATCAGAGACTTGAACATTCGAGGATTGGTCCTGGAACCAGTCTCCCACAGATACTGGATACTGAGGGATGCAGCTGTACACACTTTGTGGTCCACGGGACCTGTAACAAGAAATGAGAAGTACCTACCTTCAACATTGCCTAGAAACCAGATTTTTATTAAATGCCATGTCTTGTTTCTGTTTCCTAGACATACCTGCAGTTTTTCCTATGTGCTCCCAGTGTATTTGATATGGTTTGACTCTGTGTCCCCACCCAAATCTCATCTTGAACTGTAATTCCCACCTGTTGAGGGAGGGAACCTGTAATCCAAGTATGATTGGATTATGGGAGTGGTTCCCCCATGCTGTTCTCATGAGAGTGAGTGAATTCTCACCAGATCTGATGGTTTTATAAATGATAGTTTTTCCTGTGCTCTCACTCTCTCTATGTCCTGCTGCCTTGTGAAGAAGGTGCCTGCTTCCCCTTTACCTACTGCCATGATTGTAAGTTTGCTGAGGCTTCCCCAGTCATGTGGAACTGTGAGTCAATGAAACCTCTTTCCTTTATAAATTACCCATTCTCAGGAAAGTTCTTTATAGCAGTGTGAAAACAGACTAATACGGCATTTCAGGCCTGCATTATCTCTGTAGGATTAGAACAACTGCCTCCTTGACCCCCTCCCCCACCAAACAAATTTAATAAAACATTTAATTAAAATCTGGTTTCTAGGCAATGTTGAAGGTAGGTACTTCCCATTCCCTGTTACAGGCCCTGTGGACCACAAAGTGTGTACAGTTCCATCCCTCAGTATCCAGTATCTGTGGGAGACTGGTTCCAGGCCCAATCCTTGGATGTTCAAGTACTTCTTCATACAAGTGCCAATTATCTGCATACCAGTTGGTGATGTTGTTGGCTTGGGAATGGGAATCCTTCAGTGACTGCTTGCCTGCCTACAGGTGCAAATTCAAATCCCTTGTCATGGTGTACAATCTTGTTTTCATGGGCTGGTCCTGCTTTTCCTCCCCACCTTACCTGCTTCCTTTCTCTTCATGACTTTCGTGCTTCTATTCATTCAGTGATATCCAACCTGGAAGGGCAAAAGAGGTTTTTAGTTTGTTGCTTACCAGTCTCTGCCCAGATATATGCATATGGTATTTAAAAATAGAATAGATAAAATTGTGTTTTAGTATTTTTACATAAACATTCTTACACAAACATTTATAGTTTTCTTTTCTTTTTCTTTTTTTTTAGTAGGAGTTTCGCTGTTGTTACCCAGACTGGAGTGCAATGGCATAATCTCGGCTCACCGCAGCCTCTGCCTTCTGGGTTCAAGCAATTCTCCTGTCTCAGCCTCCCGAGTAGCTGGGACTACAGGCGCGCACCACCATGCCCAGCTAATTTTTGTATTTTTAGTAGAGACGGGGTTTCACCTTGTTGACCAGGATGGTCTCGATCTCTTGACCTCGTGATCCACCCACCTCGGCCTCCCAAAGTGCTGGGATTACAGGCTTGAGCCACCCCGCCCAGCCTTCTTCTTCTTTTTTTTTTTTTTTGAGATGAAGTCTTACTCTGTTACCCAGGTTACAATACAGTGAGTGGCACGATCTCGGTGCACTGCAACCTCCACCTCCCAGGTTCAAGCAGTTCTCCTGCATCTGGGATTACAGGTGTCTGGCACCATGTCCAGCTAATTTTTATATTTTTAGTAGAGATTAGGTTTTGCCTTGTTGGCCAGGCTGGTTGGTCTCAAACTCCTGACCTCAAGTGATCTGCCTACCTCAGCATCCCAAAGTGCTAGGATTGCAGGTGTAAGTCACTATGCCCAGCCCAAAACACTGTATTTCATATACTGGCAATGAACAATTGGAAATGAAAATTTTGACAAATCCAAACAAAATTACAAAGACAAAATATCTAAAGTGTAGCATTATTTCATAGTGGCTGAGAGCAGGTTTAACACCATGAATGTCATTGCCATTTAGAAAACTTCTTTTCATTAAGAAAGAAAAGAAGTTTTCTAATAACTATCACCTTAATGGAGAAGTCATTTGATGCAGTTCCTCATGTCAGCTCATGGTTCAGCTGGAGTCAGTGTTTAGATACACCTTTGTCAAACAAAAGGTAACAGCAGAATATAAAAAACATCAATATGGAAAGCATCAATTATATGGAAATTATTAGTCTTTTGAACAATTTGTACTACAATTCATATTACTTGTAAAAGTTTATTTTATATATGTGTGCGTGTATATATATATGAGAATAAATAAAAATATTTATAAATTTCAAAGTTCTAAGTTAGTATTACCTTGCTGGTTGTTAAATAGTTTGAATGTATATTTTCTTTTCCCTGTCTTTACAAAAATAATGGCATATTACATGCTGTCCATTTTCTCACTTGATTTTTTTTTTTTTTTTTTTTAACTGTTAACAGTATAGCTTGGAGATCATTAAAAAAAAAATTTTTTTTTTTAAAGAAATGAGGTCTCACTATGTTGCCCAGGCTGGTCTTGAATTCCTGGGCTTAAGCACTTCTTCCTTGGCTTCCCAAGTGCTGGGATTACAGGTGTGAGCCACCGTGCACGGCCATTCCAAAACCTTGACAAGGTATTATTCATTCTTTTTGATGGCCGTGTAATAATAGTCCATAGTGTGCCATAATTTATTAACTAGTCTTCCACTGATGAGTATCTAGGTTGTTTTCAGCTTTTGGCTATTCAGAAACATGCCAGTATTAAAAAAAAAACAATTTAAAACTCATCTTAGGCACTTTAATAGTATAGCACATGTGATTTGGGATGATAGACAGTATACCAATTGAGAAATTTATGGTCTAATAAAACCTTACCCTCTTACCATTGACTTTCCATTTTTCCCTTTTTTTTTTTTTTTTTTTAGAGACAGGGTTTCACCATGTTGCCCAGGTTGGTCTTGAACTCCTGAGCCCAGACAATCCGCTCACCTCAGCTTCCCAAAGTGCTAGGATTATAGGCATGAGCCACCAAGCCTGACCCCTTCTATCATTTTTTTTTTAACCTGTTTTCATTACACTATCAGGGTAGCTTCTCCAACATTACTTTTAATCTTACCCCTGGTGTTACTTTTTTCTCACTGCAGTGTGAAGATTGCTCCTGGAGCTGTTGTATGTGTGGAAAGTGAAATCAGAGGAGATGTAACTATCGGTAAGAAAATAGTTTACTTACTGTTTCTCAAGAATTTATGTGATTTAATCTATTTTAATGCTTTACCATTAGATACTGTCTTCCATGTTTATGTCACTGATGTCCTGGTTTTATTGACAAAATACTGTATTTTCTCCTATATGTTTAAAATTTCTAAGAGAATATAGTGTGATGGAGGCTGTGTTTTAACTTCTATCTGAAATACTACTGAGGCTGTATAACAAAGTCATTCATGGATTTGAGAGAGATCTGTTGTGTCTCTGTGATGTGTCAGGCACTGTGCTAGTGCTAGGGACATGATGGTAAGCACAGCAGACAAAGGTACTGCTTTTATGGAGCTTCATGGAGTGCGTGGGCCATGGAGTCGGCAGACCTGGGCTAGTTTGCTCTTTGCTCCTTTCTGGCTGGGTTACTTTGGACATACTACTCAACCTCTCTGACCTTGATTTTTTTCCCATCTATATAAGTGTGTATATCAGGATTTGGTTTGGCTGCATGTAGGGTGGCTTACACCTGCAGAGGTGTATTCTCTCATATAAAAAGTTGCGAGGTGGCCAGGCGCGGTGGCTCACGCCTATAATCCCAGCACTTTGGGAGGCCGAGGTGGGTGGATCACGAGGTCAAGAGATCAAGACCATCCTGGTCAACAAGGTAAAACCCTGTCTCTACTAAAAATACAAAAATTAGCTGGGCATGGTGGCGCGTGCCTGTAGTCCCAGCTACTCGGAAGTCTGAGGCAGGAGAATTGCTTGAACCCAGGAGGGGGAGGTTGCAGTGAGTTGAGATCACGCCATTGCACTCCAGCCTGGGTAACAAGAGCGAAACTCCGTCTCAAAAAAAAAAAAAAAAAAATCGGCCGGGCATGGTGGCTCAAGCCTGTAATCCCAGCACTTTGGGAGGCCGAGACGGGTGGATCACGAGGTCAAGAGATCGAGACCATTCTGGTCAACATGGTGAAACCCCGTCTCTATTAAAAATACAAAAAAATAGCTGGGCACAGTGGCGCGTGCCTGTAATCCCAGCTACTCGGGAGGCTGAGGCAGGAGAATTGCCTGAACCCGGGAGGCGGAGGTTGGGTGAGCCGAGATCGCGCCATAGCACTCCAGCCTGGGTAACAAGAGCGAAACTCCGTCTCAAAAAAAAAAAAAAAAGTTTCGAGGTAAGTAAGCAGCGCTGATTGGTTGGTTGTCCAGCATGGAGCTCCAGCCCTGCAGGCCAGGAAGTGATGGCTAGAGCACCAAGTATCATCCTGGATGAGAAAGGGGAGGAGTGGAAGCAAAAGGGATGTGTCCCAGCTATGAGTCAGCTCCCTTTAAATAGCCTCCCTGAAAGCTCCCCACGACCCTTCTCCGTGTGTCTTATGGCTAAGACAATTTCATGGACACATCAAGCTTCAGGGGAGTTTGGGAGATGTAGTCTTAGCTGGTTGCATTGCAGCCCCTAATAAGATCAGGGTTCTATTACAAGGAAAAAGAGAAGAGATATTGGATGGCAATGAACAATTTTCATAACATGCAAAATAGTAGTATCTATCTCCTAGGTTTCTTGAAAGAGAACGTGAAAACTGAGTAGTAAGCTGTCAATAAATGTTAGCTGTGACCACTGTCAGATCTTCTCATTGTAGCCTTGCCAGAGCTCAAGTCCAGCATTTTACTTACATGAACTTGACTAAGTTCCTCAAACATTTTACTCTGTTCTTTTACATGGGTATGGTGCCCTTGCAGCTTGATTGGTGTAGTTCATTCTTAACAGCAGCCACATGTTACCTGGATGCTACTGGACTAGAGTGTTCAGTGAACGGTTACACTTTCAGAGAGGAAATACGCTTTATTTGCTTAAATGAACAGTTTCTTTAATAGAAAAAAAACCTGTAACATCTTTTTTTTTTTTTTTTTTTTTTTCGAGATGGAATCTCGTTCTGTTGCCCAGGCTAGAGTACAGTGGTGCGATCTTGGCTCAACACTGCAACCTCTGTCTCTCGGGTTCAAGCAGTTCTTCTGCCTCAGCCTCCAGAGTAGCTGGGACTACAGGCACGAGCCACCATGCCCGGCTAATTTGTTTGTGTCTTTAGTAGAGATGGGGTTTCACCATATTGGCCAGGCTAGTCTTGATCTCCTGACCTCGTGATCCACCCACCTCAGCCTCCCAAAGTGCTGGGATTACAGGCGTGAGCCACCTCACCTGGCCACGTCATTTTTTTTTTTCCTAAAAAATCTAAGCCTCCAAACAATTTAGGGATCTTGTCTTATAAAACCAGTGGCAATTGTGCCAGGATTGTGGAACATTGTTAAGAATTTGCCAGATTGGTTTATTTAATTAATTTGAATGGAGATACTTTAGAAATGTAGAAAACAGCCCTGTTTCTTTTCGGTGCTGTGTTAACTCTTTGTCTTTTGTAATAACTAAACTGCTTGCAAAGTGTTTATGAAATGAGGAGGGCCATGAATATTAATTTTCTACAATCTCTACTGCAGACTGGGACCATATATTTATCAAAATGCACCTCTGCATTCTTTTTACTCATCATTTTACTGCATTATTATTGTGGCTATCATCATGATAGTCTAGGAATAATACCTTATAGTAGTTTACAATGCATTCTTTAGTTAGAAGGAAAGTAAGACTGAAGTAATAGAATTAATTATGTAGATTTTCATGGCATTTCTACTTCTTCCCCATTTTATACTTTTTCTTTTCTTTTTAATGCCCCAGTGTACAACACATTCTTTTTTCTTTTCCTTTTTCTTTTTTTTTTGAGACAGGGTCTTGCTATTTTGCCAGGCTGGTCTTAAACTCCTGGACTCAAACAGTCCTTACTGCCTCGGTTTCCCAAAGTGTTGGGATTACAGGCATGAGCCCAACAACAACCCCATTTTAAATAAGTATGTAATGTCTACTATAAGGTAGATATATCTGCAGGCATAAATATACACAGACATGTTGGGGGATGTATTTCAGACTTGAAATAACATCTTTTACAGATGCTTTTCTGGGCTGTAAAGGCTTTTATCCTATGCAAGGAAGGTAGCTGCCAGTGATTGGTGGAGCACTGCCTCAGACTGAGTTTTAGAGGGATTAGGGATCAGTATTCACTTTCCTGTTTCTCCCTCTGGTTTTCACTATGTTGTGCTGTTTCCCTTCCTTTATCCCTCTTATGTTCCTACCTTCCCTACATGTTGAAATTATTTAAGGAAGTACAGGTCAGGTGCCTTGGCTCATGCCTGTAATCCTAGCACTTTGGGAGGCTGAGGTGGGAGGATCTCTTCAGCCCAAGAGTTCAAGACCAGTGTGGAAAATATCATGGGAACTCATCAGAAAGAAAGAGAGAAGAAAAGAGAGAGTGAAAGAGAGGGAGAGAGAAAGGGAGAGAGGGAGGAAAGGAGGAAGGAAAGGAAATAAAGGGAGGGAGGAAGGAAGGAAGGGAGGAAGGAAGGAAAGGAGGAAGGAAGGAAAAGAGAGGGAGAAAGAAGCAAAGGAAGGAAAGAGAAAGGGAGGAAGGGAGGGAGGAAAGGAAGGAAGGAAAAGAGGAAGGAAGGAAGGAGAGAGAAAAAGGGGAAAGGAAGGGAGGGAGGGCTAGCCGCATATGGTGGCGCAGGCCTGTAGTCCCAGTGGGAGGGTTCAGTGAGCTATAATTGTACTACAGCACTCCAGCCTGGATGACAGTGTGAGACCCTGTCTCAAAAAAAAAATTATATAAGGAAGTGCGTTATTTAAATCTTTCCATGGTTCATTTGTTAGTTTGTTCGGAACCAAGGTCTTGTTCTGTTGCCCAAGCTGGAGTGCACCAGTGTGATCATGGCTCACTACAGTGTCCAACCTCTGCATTCAAGTGATTCTCCCACCTCAGCCTCCCAAGTAGCTAGGACTACTGCAACACACCACCATGCCTGGCTAATTTTTGTATTTTTGCCCAGGCTGGTCTCAAACTCTTGGCCTCAATTGATCCTTCTTCCTTGGCTTACCAAAGTGCTAGGATTACAGGTGTGAGTAACCGCCCTTGGCCCTTCACCTAGTTTTTGACCACTAGCTGGTGGTAGACAATTCTGATAGTTAAAATGGCATTTTAACACAGATTTTCTTTCTTTCTTTTTTTTTTAGACAGAGTCTCACTCTGTTGCCCAGGCTGGAGTGCAGTGGTGCCATCTTGGCTCCCTGCAACCTTCACCTCCTGGGTTCAAGTGATTCTCATGTCTCAGCCTCCCAATTAGCTGGGATTACAGATACATACCACCACACTCAGCCTTTTTGTGTTTTGGTTTTTTTGTATTTTTAGTAGAGACAGGGTTTTACCATGTTGGTCAGGCTCATCTGAAACTCCTAACCTCAAATGATCACCCGCCTTGGCCTTCCAAAGTTAACACAAATTTTCAATGATGGATTATAACGTAAGAAGTGGTAATACATTTTTTTTTTTTGAGACAGAGTTTCGCTCTGTTGCCAGGTGCCAGGCTTGAGTGTAGTGGCGCAATCTTGGCTCCCTGCAACCTCCACCTCCCAGGTTCAAGCAATTCTCCTGCCTCAGCCTCCTGAGTAGCTGGGACTACAGGCGTGTGCCACCACGCCCAGCTAATTTTTGCATTTTTAGTAGAGATGGGGTTTCACTATGTTGACCAGCTTGGTCTCGATCTCTTGACCTCGTGATCCACCCACCTCAGCCTCCCGAAGTGCTAGGATTACAGGCATGAGCCACCACGCCTGGCTGGAAGTGGTGATACATTTTTAAGGAAAGAAATCTCTAGTGATTTAAAGTTTATCACAGTGGGCGGGGCAGGCAGGCTCCAAGTGAGTACTTGTATATTTATTCTGACTCCTGTTTTGAAAGAAGAAAATTTGCTCAAATACTGAGGAGAAACAACTCAATTTAAAAAGTTAAGGAAAATTTGAGGAGAAATGAAGGTTCAGAAGAGTGATATAGTTACCCATAGTTCTGTCTTCTACAATTCTTGTCTCATTTTTGTTATGTATGTTTCTTAACTTCAACTGTATAATGTGGGAATTTT